AAGCGCTGCTAAAGGGTTATAAAAAGCGCTGTTAAAAGTGCTGCTGAAGGGAGCCTTTAGCCTTAGCCGCTCTTTTTCCATAAAAAAAAAAAAGCGTTGTCTTTATCTTTAGCAGCGCTTTTTCCATAAAAAAAAAAGCGATGCCTTTATCTTTAACAGCGCCACTTTTGGCAGCGCTTTAAAGCGTTGTTAAAGGCCAAAAAAAGCACTGCTAAAGGTCTTTTTTGGCATAGTGTTATTATCGAAGCTTTGAAAATTTTATCTCATACTTCTGACATTTATCTTTCTATCCCTACAATCTTTTGATTTTGACCAAAATACCTCTGTATAAATAGTATATTTGATTTTCTTTTTCACTTTTTTATTCATTTGTTTTTAAAGATATTTGATACGGAAAAAAATAATTTACATACTAGAAATCTTGTTTGAAGTTATACGTTCATACAATGCAAATTGAAAGTCATTGAGTAAATTTCGGTTGTGAAACTTATCGGCTATCTAGTAAACAATACCTACACTGCTTCTACAAGTATTTCGGAGGACATTCTTTTAGTTGTCAGATAGGGCTGGAAATGAGTCGAGTCGAGTCGAACTCACCTCAGCTCGGCTCGACTCATTAAGAATTTTTCGAGTTCGAGTTCGAGTTCGAGTTCAACACGAACTTTTTTTTAAGCTCAAACTCGACTCGTTATGAATTGTTTCGAGTTTGAGTTCGAGTTCGAGTTCAACACGAACTTTTTTTTAAGTTCAAACTCGACTTGTTATAAGTTCACGAACAGTTTGGTTCAACTCATTAGGATCAGCTCACATGATTCACGGGCTTAAAAACTATTTTTTTTAATATATATATATATATTTTAGTATATTTGACATTTTAAATAAATATATTTTTTTTAAAATAAAATATTAAAATAAAATAAAAATTATCATATTGAAATTTAACTTTATCTTCGAAATCTACTAATTCAAAACTTACACAACTTTCAAGAGATACATTTGAGAGTCTAATTCAAAAACTACTAAGTTGAAGATTAAATTTGTCTAAGATTTAGATTAAATATTTAAACCTAATCTTAAAGACAGTATAATTATTCTCATATGTAATCGAGTTAACTCATGAACCTAACGAGTCGAACTATGTAGAGTTCAAGTTCAGCTCATTTAGTTAACGAACTTAATTTTTCGCTCATACTCAACTCATTAGGTTCATGAACCTAGTTCAACGATCTAATTGTCGAATCGAATTTCGAACTATTTTCGAGTTGGTTCGGTTCATTGCCAACCCTATTGTCAGAATTCTTTCATTAAAAAGATCTGGTTTGATTTTCTTTTTAATTTGTTAAATTCTTTTTCTTTACCGAAAAACATTGTAAAAAACATCTGGTACACATGTTACAAATCGATAACTTTTAAATAGTTCTTCCAAAATAAATTGGAATCAAATAATCTAATTTCAAGTTATCCAAAAGATAAAAAAGAATATACTGAAACTAAGTTATATAGTTATCCGGTATAAATTGGTAGAGGTACAAACTCCTTTATATTTTCCGAAAACTTCAATAAATATTTAAAAAAAAGATAATTTAATTAAAATCAATCAAGAGTAAATTTAGAATATTTCATAAAAAAGTAGGGGTATGTAAGGGTATCAGAATAAATGCAAGGGTATATGGTAAAATTTTTAGTAGGAATAATTTTGTTTTAATATCTTTCATTTTATATTTATTATAATGATGAATAGGCCAATAATGATATGCTAACGAGTAGGGGTGGTAAAGTGGGCGGCCTGCCCCATTAAAGCCCGTTCAAAAGTGGGACAGGGCGGGCCAACTTAAGCGTCTGAGATAACAATTACACTGACTTTTATTTTAATTGATTCCTTAATACTTAAATCCTAAATTTGTCACATGAATACACTAATCAAATCATTCCTTTTCTTAAACTCAACATCTATTTCTAAAGAAAACATGTGAGTTAATGTTTGACAACTTAATAATTCAACAAGTCATCCAATTGTTCTTTTATTTCAAGTTTTTCTAATAAACACATGTATAAGAAAGTTATACACATAATGTTACAATTATAATTTAATTTATTTGTATAATAATTTATAATACAATTCAATCAACATAATAATAAGAGAAGAGTGTTGTTTTTATAGTTAAAATTATTTTAATTATAAGTAAGAAAATATAAAAAAAATTTAACAAAAAGCCTGCGGGTAAAATCCGTCCCGCCCCGCTTTTCTAGTGGGTTAGGCGGCGCGGACCAACTTAAAGTACCGAAGCAAAAACTTCAGCTCAGTCCGCCAAAAATGGCGAGTCAAATAGGCCGACTCGGCGGATCCAATCCGTTTTGCCACCCCTACTAACGAGTGTCTCATGTACACTCTTTAAACACTCCAAACAAATAAAATATTCTATACAAAAGTTAACCATTTCAATTTTTGAAGCATTAAATATACATATTTCCAAAAAGACTTATTATTTAAAACTTTAAAGAATGCCTCTGAGACACTCGGGAAATTTTACCCCATACCCCTACAATTATACTCATACTCCTACAATTTTAAAAAAATACCAGTTTTATCCATGTATATTTTTTATTATATTTTTTTTTTACTTTTTACTGTGTTGTGTCAAATTTTGAGAGTTTCGAGAAATTCACCAATCGAGTCTTCAGGAACACTAATAAAATGACTTCCGGTATGTTCTTTTTCTAAACCGGAAGATTTTGGCAAAGAGTTCCGGTTTATACATAATATGTACTAGAAGAGTTTATCAAAGACTTCCGATTTGCGTTTTTCGTAGAATTTTACCGGAACACTTTTCTTAAGAGTTCCGGTATTTTTAAAAGTGTACCGGAACACTTTTTACAAGTCTTCCGGTTTGGTAACGTTGGCTACCAGAACTCTTTGCCTGAGTCTTCCGGTTTGCATTTGTAATATTTTTTTTTAATTTTTTTTTGTAATTTTATTTTTATGCAGGTACAGAGACTCCTTTACAAATATGCGATAAAGATCAGATATGCGTAGATACGTCTGATGTTTTTTCAACTACTCAAAGATTTGGTACACGAGAAGAGGCGATAAGATGGATTAAAGAGATCGGAATCCGAAATAAAGTAACAGTTATCATCACTCGTTCAGATATTGAAACAGACAAGAGAGGAAGAAGTAACAAATTAATATTTGGATGTGATAAAGGAGGAAAACACAAAGATATTGATAGTGGAACGAAAAAATATGGATGTCCATTTAGAATCAGATCAATTTCAGCGACTGATGGATCTGGATGGAAGATTGATGTAAAATGTGGAGTTCATAACCATGATTTACCTGATAGATTAGAAGGTCAGACATTTGTTGGTAGGTTGACAGCGGATCAGAAGCAACATGTTGTTGATTTGACAAAGAGAAAGGTTCCACCTAGACATATATTGCTTTCATTGCAAGAGCAAGATCTAGATAATGTCACTCGGATCACGCAAATATACAAGCAGAAGAGTATGATAGAAAAAAATATAAGAGGTCCTAGAAGTGAGATACAACATTTATTTAAGCTTATTGAGGATGCAGGTTATGTTTATTGAAGTAGAAAAAGAGATGACTCTGAAGTTATTAGAGATATATTTTGGGCTCATCCAGATTCAGTTAAATTGTTGAATATTTTTCCTATTGTGTTAGTTATGGACAACACTTACAAGACAAACAAATATAGGCAACCTCTATTTGAAATTGTTGGCATCACATCAACCGAGTTGACTTTTGCTATCGCATTTGTCTATATTGAGTCTGAGCAGACTGAGACTTTTTGTTGGGTGCTAGATAAGCTTAAACAATTGTTTGTGAAGAAAGAGTTGTGTCCACAAGTGATTTTGACAGATAGAGATCTTGCTTTGATGAAAGCCATTGAATTTGTGTTTCCAAGGTCGATCAATTTGCTATGTCGATTTCATATTAACAAAAATGTTAGTGCAAAACGGAAACAATATGTAACTAGTGACATGCAAAAGAAAATTGACGAATTATGAACGAATGTTGTATGGGCTAGTGATGAGGTTGAGTATGATCAAAGGTTGAACCAACTTGAGCAGGTGTGTGTTGATTGTAATGAATTTATTGATTATGTGAAGGACACATGGTTGACACCACATAGACAAAGATTTGTTGGAGCATGGGTTAATCGAGTGCTACATTTGTAAGAAGTTTCGTTCTACAGCAGCAACATCTTGGATGCTAGGATTTGCAGGACGTCTACAATATTGGCAACAACTTACGCCTATATTACCAACGCATCATGAATTATAAATTATGTTATTCATTTTTAATTTCAACACATAAATCATGAATTATATTATTCATTTTTAATTTCAAAACATGCATATTAAAAAGCTTATTCTACTACCCGAAATATTTTGCAAGACAAACCAAATATGTGGCTCTAAGTGTGAAGATAGAAGTTATTATTTTTAAAGTACTCAAGTATCTCGTGAAATCTTGATTTAATTGCCCTTCCCTAGATTTTCATATTTGCTTTCATCGCTTGCAGGATTTGAGGGATTCTTGTATTGCTTGCTTCTACTTCCAATCCTACATTCCATTGAAGAACCAAAGAAAATCTTAAGGGAGGTATTTGTAATTTCTCCAATATTTACATAACCAAAGAAAATTTAACAAACTAAAAGCAAAACTAATAAATTTATAAAGACAAAAACATTATTTAACTCAACTTCTAAATGACAATACATAGCGCAATGAGACCAAGTCATTATGTAACTCCAAAAAACAAGACAGGACATAATTTTGTTTGGCTATAATGTGCGGTCCCAAGAAGACTTAAATTACGTGTGAAATTGGGTTGAATGATGGAATCAATATTTAGCATGTTGGTTGCATCCAATCTAATAATCTATAAAAAGAGAAAAAGGTACGTTACTAACATATCACTACTTCATCATTCTCAAGCCATTAGACACACAGAGGCTCCTCTTAGTTCACTATGAGGCCACACATAATCTTTTGGCTTTTCTTTATACCAATCAGCTTAATAAATTCCAGCACTTCAGATTTTGTGGTGAATGGCCACTGTCTCAGCCATCAGCATTCCTTGCTGCTCCATTTGAAAAACAACCTCATATTCAACCACACGAAATCCTCGAAGCTAGTTCATTGGAACCAAAGTGATGAAGATTGTTGCCAATGGCATGGGGTAACATGCAAAGATGGACATGTTTCAGCCCTTGATCTTAGTCATGAGTCTATCTCGCAAGGACTTAATGATTCAAGTGCTCTTTTCAACCTGCACTATCTCGAGAGTCTCAATTTGGCTTTCAATAGCTTCCATACTGTGATTCCTTCAGAACTGCATAAGCTGCGGAATTTGAAGTATCTAAACTTGTCAAACGCTGGCGTTGAAGGACAGGTCCCAAAAGAAATTTCTCACCTCACAAAGTTGGTTATGCTCGATTTGTCTTCTTCAGTTACTTCAAATCACAGCTTAAAACTTGAGAATCCAAATATAGAGATGTTGGTGAAAAACCTCACAGATATCAGAGAATTGTATCTAGATGGTGTAACAATATCTGCCAGCGGAGAAGAATGGGGTCGTGCTTTATCCTTATTGAAAAGGCTTCGTGTTTTGAGCATGTCATCGTGTAATCTCTCCGGACCTATTGATTCTTCACTAGCTAAGCTTCGGTCGCTCGCTGTTCTAAAATTGAACAACAACAATTTGTCAAGCATAGTGCCAGATTCCTTTGCAAATTTCTCCAATTTAACCATCCTACATCTCAGTAGTTGTGGTTTGAATGGTTTTTTCCCAAATCACATCTTCCAAATACACACATTAGAAGTCATTGACATATCAGACAATCAAAATCTTAAAGGTTCTTTGCCAGACTTCCCAACACTTGCATCTCTTCACTACATGAATCTTGCCAATACAAATTTCTCAGGACCACTTCCAAATACTATCTCAAACCTGAAGCAGTTATCAACCATTGATCTATCTTACTGCCAATTTAACGGAACACTTCCGAGTTCAATGTCAAAACTCACCCAACTTGTTTATCTAGACATGTCATCCAATAACCTCACAGGTCCACTCCCTTCTTTCAATATGTCCAAGAACCTCACATATCTATCCTTATTTCTCAATCATTTGAGCGGGGATTTGCCATCAAGCCATTTCGAAGGCCTTACAAACCTTGTCAGCATTGATCTAGGATTCAATTCTTTCAAAGGGAACTTGCCCACATCTCTACTTAAGCTCCCATATTTGCGAGAACTAAAACTTCCCTTTAATCAACTGGGTGGTCTCTTAGGTGAATTTGACAGTGCATCATCTCCAGTATTGGAGATACTTGATTTGGGAAGCAATAACTTTCAAGGAAATATTCCTATCTCTATCTTTAACCTTAGAACTCTTCGTGTCGTTCAACTTTTTTCCAACAAGTTCAATGGTACAATACAATTGGATGTCATTCAAAGACTACACAATTTAACTACGCTAGGTCTCTCACATAACAATTTGTCCATTGATGACAACATCAGAGATGATCATGATTGGTCACCCTTTCCAGAGATCAGATTTGTTTCGTTGGCTTTCTGCAAGCTAAAGGCAATCCCAAATTTCTTGAGAAATCAGTCGACTTTGACATATCTTGACCTATCTGGAAACGAGATTGAAGGATCAATACCAAACTGGATATGGAATCTTGAATCTATCAACAACTTGAATCTTTCCCAGAATTATTTGACTAATTTTGAAGAAAGAAATTGGAACGTAAGTTCTAATCTTTTTGTGGTTGATCTTAGTTCTAACAGACTCCAAGGGCCTATTACATTCATCCCGGAGTACGGAATTCATTTGGACTACTCAAGCAACATGTTGACCTCTATTGTACGACCAGACATCGGAAACTATCTCCCTTTCATACAAATATTGATTCTTTCAAACAATAGTTTTAAGGGAGAAATCGATGAATCTCTTTGCAATGCTTCAAGTCTTAACATGCTAGATCTTTCATACAACAACTTCGATGGGACGATTCCAAAATGTTTTGCAACACTGAGTAGCAAACTCAGGATGTTGAGCTTTGGAGGAAACAAACTCCGAGGTCATATCCCTGCTACTATATTCTCAAATTCATGTGCACTAAGATATTTGGGTCTAAATGACAATTTCTTGGAAGGGAGCATACCAAAAACTTTGGTCAATTGCAATCAACTAGAAGTCCTAAACCTTGGAAATAATGCTTTAAGTGACAGGTTTCCATGTTTCTTGGGCAATATTTCCACCTTGAGAGTCATGGTTTTAAGGTCTAATAAGCTCTACGGGTCTATTGGGTGCCCAAATAGCACAGGTGATTGGGATATGCTTCATATTGTCGATCTATCATCCAATAAATTTAGTGGAATGATACAAGGAACACTGTTAAAGAGTTGGAAGGCAATGATGCGCGATGAAGGCGCATTTGGGCCAGAATTTGGCCATTTGTTTTCTACAATCATTGATAACAACAATCCTCCTGTGAGTTTGAAGGCTGTGTTACCACTTCTGAACAAATATCTGGCAATGAAATTTGTTAAACTTGTTGGAAACGTGTCCCGCTCTATTCTTGACGAGGGATTTGCTGCTTTCGTTACATTGGACCTTTCTCGTTATCAAGATTCAGTTATTCTTGTCTACAAAGGTCGGCAGATGAAGCTTTCCAAAATTCAAATGGCATTCACTTATGTGGACATGTCAAACAACTACCTGGAGGGGCCAATACCCAACGAGCTAACGGAATTCAAGGCACTTCATGGTCTGAACTTGTCACATAATGCACTTAAGGGTCATATACCATCATCTGTGGGGAATTTGAAGAACCTTGAGTCTTTGGACTTGTCAAGCAACTCCTTCAATGGAGAGATTCCTCAAGAGCTTTCAAGTCTATCTTTCCTAGGATATCTTAATCTCTCGTTCAATCACCTGGAAGGGAAAATTCCATTGAGTACTCAAATCCAAACATTTGATGCAGATTCCTTTGAAGGTAATGAAGGGTTATGTGGTCCTCCACTAATCATAAATTGTAGCAAAGATGGAGTGCAAGGGCTGCCTCCATCTCATTCTCAAAATGAGAATTCAATTGATTGGAACTACCTGAGTCTAGAGTTGGGATTTATTTTTGGCTTTGGAATTTCTATTCTCCCCCTTATCTTCTGGAAGAAATGGAGGTTGTGGTATTCCAAACATGTAGATGTGATGCTTTACAGGATCATCCCACAACTTGATTTTCAGCTTGAACAGCACGAAGGGAAGATGTATAAAATTTTGAGGTGGAGGTACTGATTGCTAAACTCAATGGTTCAAAGTTATTTCAGATTTTGCACTTCTTCATCTTTCCTAGTTTAATACTAGTATTGTCAAAATAAGAATTAACTGGATTATATATGTTAATCTGGTTGAGCCTAGTGATAAGCCTAGTAACTACTTTGTTTCTTTTTTCCATTTTATATTTATACAAAAATTTGCAGTTTGTAAAGAAATTTAGCTGCAGATTAGTTTTCATATTGTTCAAAACTTTTATGCTTCCTAACTATATGGCATAAGATGTTGATGCAACAATTTCAGAGTAAAACTACAAGATGCACTGGAAGAGAGTTTATACCGTGTTTTTTCATTGATTTGTTAATCATTTAGATACACAATACAATTATGTGGTTATAATTCTAATAATCATTTGCAATCAATACTAATAATAATCTTTCTATATTTACATATCTAATACACCCCCGTAGTTGAAACTGGAGGTGAATGAATATTGAGACTATTGTTGAATCTGTAAAGCAGCAAGCAAAAATATTATTTTCGGAAGAATTTCCTCCGGGATTTATCGTCTCCACAGGGATTAGTGTGAGGGAAAGAATGCCGTTCGACCATCTCTACGTCTCTAAGTTTGGGTTTGAATGGTTTGAGATAAAAAATTCAAAAGCAAAACATAAAACAAGAAAATAAGTACATTCTTAAGAAATGAGAAAACTCGTCAGGAGTTGTATTTCGTTTTACCCATCATGCACTAAAAAATATATGAATCAAATGCACGCAACCTAATTCGCTCGTTAATATCATCACATATCGCTCACAACAGAGGTTATCTCTAATCGCAAAGTCGAGAGATCAACCGTATCGTCTCATTGTTGATCTCTCACACAAATCGAAAACACGGAGCATTAAGAATCGATACCCACGTGAATATTAGTCCTAAATCTATCTCTAGCATTTAGAAACTAATAGATGTTCATCTTAGATCGAGTTCGAACCATATATATCTATAGCAATCCAAACCCATTTAGTAAAAAATCAAGATAAGCATCGATAAAGAGTTGTAAAAGAGATTTTATACAAAGATCCATAAATATACATACAATTAAGGTAAACTTACATACATAACCCCAACAAATGAAAAATACATAGAGAGGAAGGAAGAAGAACACAAATCTCGCGGTCTGTCAACTCCGATTGAAGTGGATTCGACTCCGGATCGTCAAGATGCACCCTCCAATGTTATTTCTAAGCTAAATCTACTCAAGAATGTGTTTGATGAAGTTGAGGTAAAAAGTTCCCAAACAACATAACCTAAAAAATGCTGAAAAATCATTTAAATAGACAAAAATGGGTCCCAATACTCGCTTAGCGAGCAGCCTAGCGAACTGTTGTTCGCTAGGCGAACAGCCTAGCGAACATGACAGCAACCCATCACTTGTTTCGACAATAACTCTTGAACCGTAACTCCGTTTTTCGTGCGGTCGGAAGCGTTGAAAAACTTATTCAATGCTCTATAAGATAATGACAAAATATCATTGCTTATATACCTACAAAAAATGAGAAAAAATCAATTAAACTCAATGAAATTTACGCGACACACAATATATACACTATAATTTTAACTATACAACATATGCACAAAAGTTGAGGTTTATTGGTTGAATCAAGCCAATAAGTGCTAATTATTTACACTTAAAATTAGTACATTTTAGCACTTATCAACTCTCCCAAACTTAAACTTGTTTGTCCTCAAACAAGAATCGATCAACTCAAGGAAACAAAAGTAATAACCAAGCAATCATGATTCAACAAGTTTTGAAAAAAAAATGTATGGTTCAACACAAAAACGTACATGCAAAGCAAAACATACCACTAAACTATAACGATAACATGAAAACGAAACAACTCATAAATACAAAACACATGTCAAAAATTATAAGACAATACAATGTTCAAAAATGAATCACACCTAGCACACACTTCATCGGTAGATGAATAAAAAAACATGAAGGACTTAACTCTCACCCAACAATCAAGTCAACAACAAATTAAATTATGCATTCATCAAGAAAAAACTTATATTGAACAGTATAAAAGTAAAAATCACAAGGGATTTAAGGGTTGTAATGTGGCTTGGGTAACAAACAATTATTTTTCTTAAGGTAAAAGAACAAAAACTTGCCTAATCAAACGAGAGTGATCATTTCTCACAATCTCAAGCACTCACAAATTCCAATCACCTTTTTCTCTTTTCCAAATTGTTACACCATTCCACGCAACTTATTCGCATAACATTATTCTATTTTTTTTCAATTCTTTTTCTTTTTTTTTTCTTTTTCCTTTTTCCTTTTTTTCTTTCTTTTTCAAACATTTTTATCTTTCTCAACCTCTTAGCAACCAACCTCTTCTCCCCAACTTGAATACAACCACACAAAGTGACATGAATGCTCCCAAACTTATTAGGCAAGGGTAAAAACTCAAATAACAAGTCATGGTTATAGTTCAAGAAAAAGTATTAGAATCCATACAAAAATAAACTCAACACCAATATGGATTCTAACAAAGGCTCAAAGGGGTAAGCAAATTCTCACTCACTCACAAGGTAGATTGACTATTTGGTCAAGTGGGTATGCTCAAAATCAAACAAAATGCCTTGATCATTTTAGTGTTATCTACAAATCAACACAAATACAAGATTAAACATAATAAAACCGAGTTAAACAAGAATGTTGGTCTCCTGCATATAGTAAACAATGGAAAGCTCCTCACAAAAAGGTTTAGTTCTAAAGTGATTCAAAACTGAACAAGTATGGCAAAATAATGAATGACATGAAATTTGTACAAATGAAAAGTCTCATAATCATGCTATGTTCTAGAAAGCGATAAACAAGTACCTTGCAAAGTACCAACTTCAAACAATATCAAAACCATGCATTCGCAAGTTAAAATGATCAAACTTGGAAAATCACAAAATGCATCCTTAAGCTAATCAAAAACAAACTTGAGAGCAAACACAAACATTTTTCTAACAACCTAACAAAATTGAATTAAACTAAATAAACATAAAGCTATACAAACTCAAAAACCATTGGGTTTCCTCCCAACAAGCGCTTGTTTCATGTCGTTAGCTCGATAGGTTTAGTGTTCTTTGCTAGTAACTTCCTCACATATACGCCGATGCTTTGTCAAAGCGTCAACCTAAAGAAAGTGTCCTAACCAAACACTTGAACAAACGTTACGGGAACAAAATATATACAACACTTGAACAAACATAATAGAAGACAAAAGCAAAACAAGCATATATACAAGCATATATACAATTATGTGCAAAGCTTAGAAATATAGAAACTATCGCAATGCGACTCAATATCAAAACCAATCCCCGGCAACGGCGCCATTTTATTGAAGCTGTAAAGCAGCAAGCAAACATATTATTTTCGGAAAAATTTCCTCCGGGATTTATCGTCTCCACAGGGATTAGTGTGAGGGAAAGAATGTCGTTCGACCATCTCTACGTCTCTAAGCTTGGGTTTGAATGGTTTGGGATAAAAAATTCAAAAGGAAAACATAAAACAAGTAAATAAGTACATTCTTAAGAAATGAGAAAACTCGTCAGGAGTTGTATTTCGTTTTACCCATCATGCACTAAAAAATATATGAATCAAATGCACGCAACCTAATTCGCTCGTCAATATCATCACATATCGCTCACAACAGAGGTTATCTCTAATCGCAAAGTCGAGAGATCAACCGTATCGTCTCATTGTTGATCTCTCACACAAATCGACAATACGGAGCATTAAGAATCGATACCCACATGAATATTAGTCCTAAATCTACCTCTAGCATTTAGAATCTAATAGATGTTCATCTTAGATCGAGTTCGAACCGTATATATCTATAGCAATCCAAACCCATTTAGTAAAAAATCAAGATAAGCATCGATAAAGAGTTGTAAAAGAGATTTTATACAAAGATCCATAAATATACATACAATCAAGGTAAACTTACATACATAACCCCAACAAATGAAAAATACATAGAGAGGAAGGAAGAAGAACACAAATCTCACGGTCTGTCAACTCCGATTGAAGTGGATTCGACTCCGGATCCTCAAGATGCACCCTCCAATGTTGTTTCTAAGCTAAATCTACTCAAGAATGTGTTTGATGAAGTTGAGGTAAAAAGTTCCCAAACAACATAACCTAAAAAATGCTGAAAAATCATTTAAATAGACAAAAATGGGTCCCAGTACTCGCTTAGCGAGCAGCTTGTTGTTCGCTAGGCGAACAGCCTAGCGAACATGACAGCAACCCATCACTTGTTTCGACCATAACTCTTGAACCGTAACTCCGTTTTTCGTGCGGTCGGAAGCGTTGAAAAACTTATTCAATGCTCTATAAGATAATGACAAAATATCATTGCTTATATACCTACAAAAAATGAGAAAAAATCAATTAAACTCAATGAAATTTATGCGACACACAATATATACACTATAATTTAAACTATACAACATATGCACAAAAGTTGAGGTTTATTGGTTGAATCAAGCCAATAAGTGCTAATTATTTACAATTAAAATTATTACATTTTAGCACTTATCAACTCTCCCAAACTTAAACTTGTTTGTCCTCAAACAAGAATCGATCAACTCAAGGAAACAAAAGTAATAACCAAGCAATCATGATTCAACATGTTTTGAAAAAAAATGTATGGTTCAACACAAAAACGTACATGCAAATCAAAATATACCACTAAACTATAACGATAACATGAAAACGAAACAACTCCTAAATACAAAACACATGTCAAAAATTATAAGACAATACAATGTTCAAAAATGAATCACACCTAGCACACACTTCATCGATAGATGAATAAAAAAACACGAAGGACTTAACTCTCACCCAACAATCAAGCCAACAACAAATTAAATTATACATTCATCAAGAAAAAACTTATATTGAACAGTATAAAAGTAAAAATCACAAGGGCTTTAAGGGTTGTAATGTGGCTTGGGT